CTCTCTCTCTCTCTCTCTCTCTCTCTCTCTCTCTCTCTCCCTCTCTCTCCCTCCCTCCCTCCCTCCCTCCTCCCCCTTTCTGCTCTTTCTCACTCCTCTACCTCCTCAGACAGTCTTGCTATGCTGCCCAAGCTGCCCTTGAACTTGTGATCCTCCTGCTGCAGCCTCCTGAGTGCAGAGATTACAGATGTATGACCCAACGGGCTTCGATTCTTATCTACATTAAGTTTTGAGCATCTAGAAAGGAAAGAAAGCGCGGATTCGGCTAGAAGTCACACAGAACACTTTTTACCAAGTGGACAGACCCCTGGGGATGCCAGCGTGAAACTTCTCCAGTTTTGGAAGAGCCAGGAAGGGCCATAATTTTCCAGAGCAGAAGGCTAAAGAGCTGCTGGATCCTTCCTTGGGTCTGCAAAGCAGCCCTGAAGAGGTTAATCTCTCCAGCAACACTGGCACCTATAAACACTAGCTAGCCCTTGAAATGCTCTTTCTAAGCCACATCACTCATCAAGACTGAATGCCACAGTAAACAAAGCAAAAACAAAGCAAAACCCAGAAACTAAAATTAAATGCCTTAAAAGTGATTTCTGTGCCCCAGATGCAAACTCTCAGAAATTATTTACTTACTACAGCACTGAAGTCTCTGGACCAAATCTCATTCATGAGCTGAAAGCCTAACCGCCAGCCACACTTCAGAACAATGATTACCTTGCCTCCCTCACACTGCCTTTCATCACTACCAAACAAGACTCATACTTTAAAACAACATATCCAAATGTAATTAAGCTATTCAAAGGTTCCCAGAGACCACCCATGCTCTAGATTCTGAGACCCTGGGGACATTATTTGTCCTGTTAATTTCGAATCTTTTCTCTTTGCCATTCCCTGTAGCTGAGAGAAAATACTCTAACTTCAGGGAAATTCTCACAAAAATGTAAAACAGTTATTTCCTTTTTAGTGCCCCTGGGGGTGGAATCAGAAGAGTTACGCAGAGGTGGAGGGGCCAATTCATCTTTGGCATTTGGTTTGGTAACACGCAAGTGCCCGCCTTCTGAGTTAACAGAATTAAAGTTTTGCAAGCTGCCGGCAGCCTTCGCTCACTGCTGCTCACAGCTGCCCACCTCTGGGGCACTCTGCTAACAGAACAGTCACAGTCAAGAGCAGACAAGCAAGGGAAGCAGGTACTTACAGGTGGTGGTTTTCTTTCCAAGCCAAGAGCTAGACACTCCTGGAAGTGGAGGGCTGGTCACTGACCTGGTAATCGAGTTTAAAATGTTTTCAGAGGAAGAGGGAGAAAAAACATCCCAGCAAAAGAAGAGAGCTGAAATTCCAGTCTTTCAAGTCAGCTGGGTTTAGGTTTTCTTTGTACTAAAAATCCATTAACCCACACAACACAAATAGGGAGAGACTTGGAGATCCCAAACGCACACTGTTTGCCGGTCTCCTCCACAGCCGCTGCTGTGGCTCTGGAAACTTACTTCCCCAGCGCCAAGTTTCTGGACTCCCCAGAGAAGGGCGTGTTAAGGAGGGCGTGGTAAGGATGCCTGCAACTGTTTGCAGGGAGCCCGACCCCCCTGGCGGGCAGCCTCAGCTCCGGTCCCTTCTGCTTGCTAGTTGGTCAGCAGGGACAAAACTGAGCTTTTGTTAATAGGTCGGATGCTTCTCTTCCCAGCTTTCTTCCTCACTAATACCGCTGGCTGAGCCGAAACAGTCTCTCCTGTCAACAGCACACCACACACACACACACACACACCACACACACACATACACACACACTCACACACTCACACAGGCAGGGATTCACTCTGACACACGTGCATGCAGGCTCAGGCTGCACACACACATTCACACAGACTGTTCAAGCACACTTTTCCCTGCCCCTCTTTTCCTGGGGGCAGCCCCTGCTCTGAAAGGTCTGTGTTTAAATTCCCAGGCCATGCTCAGCTTTGGGAAGGGGTGGGGGAGGGGACTGGCCCTTTTGAACTTTTGTCATGGTTCTGAAAGGAAAAGATGCCAGAGTAGATCTAGATCCTGGATTCTAATTTGAAGAACACTTAGCTCTTCATTTATAAAGGATTTCACGTGTCTGCCAATTCAGGTCCATGACACACCAAGAGGCGCCCTCTCAAAAGTGACTCCTGCAGCTCATCTCTGGATCCAGTGGGTAAAGGGCTTACAACTATGTAAGAAACTGCCTCCCTGGAGTGTATGTAGTCCCACCAGAAGGAAAAGCAGCCTGCTTTCTGGCTGAACTTCCCAAGGAGCCAGAATTGAGAAGTTGGGGCAGGACCTCCCTTTGGGAAACAGCATGTGGAGACTTGTTCAAACCTTAGCCCCAGGTAAAAGCTGCTGCAAACCCAAGACACACACACACACACACACACACACACACACACACACACACACACACACAGGGCTGGTTTGAGGACCCGGGTGTGGGAAGGAGTAAACACAAAGTACATGGTGTACAAGTAGGACAATGGAATCATGAACCCCATTGTTTATGATGATAAATTGTGCAGATTTAAAAATAGATACAGCCAATTCCATGTGAATGTGCCGACAATATTGCCATGCCCCTTCCCAATTAGGAAAGCAGGGGTGGAAAAGAACGGGGTGTGGGGGGGGGGAGCAGGGGTGGAAAAGAATGGGGGGGGCACAGATACAGGAGCAGAGGAGTGAAGGAAGGAAAGGGAGAGCAATAAACAAAAAACTGAAAAAACGATACAAAAGAAGAGAGAGAAACAATTCCTTTGATTTTTAAAGCACGCTTTGTGGAAACTTCCTTAATAAAGGCACACTGCGCACTTACTCAGAGTCAGTGGAGATTTAGCGTCTCCGAGCAGCCTTGGCTTCCTGGCAGAGCTGTGAGAGTAAGTGGGTAAAACTTGAGTGAGCGGGCTCTTTATAAGGTAAACAAACACTATAAACAAGCACAGCGGCAATGGAGCAAGCATGTGTTATCTGAAAGGGCAAGAGAGCAAGCCACCACGATGACGGAAAAGAAACATGGCAAGCTAACTGTGCTTTCAAATGGAGTTCAAAGTTTTCCAGGTCGTGACTCTCTCTCCACCAAAGAAATGGAGACAGTTTTAGATGCTATTAGTTGAAATGAAAAATCCACTTGGTAAATGCTAGCCTGTGTGTGTGTGTGTGTGTGTGTGTGTGTGTGTGTGTGTGTGTGTTTCTCCTAATATCAGGGCTAAACCAGGCTTGTGGATTAGCCTAGAAACACAAGCAAATACCATGAGAAAAGTCCTCCAGTGTCCTAAGGTAAAAGCGAACATAGACTGCAGCACACACCAAGGTGCCTGCAGTAAAGGCAATCCCTGCAATGCTGATTATACAGGTCAGGCTTGCTGTAACTGAGCTGGACACAGTCCAGAACGGACAGCAGAGATGGCCAGAACATCCTGAAATCTGAAGTATTATTTATGTAAATAATTCTCTTATATCATCCACAAAAGAATCGGGGCCTGTAGAAATAATAACATCTTAATCAGTTGGTATTCTTTGAATGAATTCTTTAAAATGCAAAGCCCAGATGTTTACTAAAATAGGCAAAGAAACAACAAAGAGCTCCTCTGAAAGACAGGCTCCCAGTTTAGTGTCAGGGGGAAAAATGCATTTTATTTCTAGCCTTGGCTGGAATGATAAAAATAGAAAATGACACTCACAGGACAGTGGCCTGTCGGTGGTGAGGGACAGAGGCACAGCTCCACACTGCCACCCTCAGCACTGTGAAGAGTTCTAGACTTCTAAGGATGCCAGGTCAAGCCTAACCAGGACTCCTGGTTTCAACTCTAGAAAGAACTTTAGGACTAGCCAGTCTATGGAGCTAGAGTGGGAGACTTTGCTGAAGATATTTTAATATAGGCTGAGCAGGTGTTCTAGTTTGCTTTCTGTTGCTTTGATAAAGAGCACGATCAAAAGCAACTTGGGGAGGAAAGGGTTTATTTCATCTTACAGCTTCCAGTCCTTCATGAAGAAGTTAGGGCAGGAATCTGGAGGCAGGAAATCTAATGCATCAGAAACCCGGGAGGAATGATGCTTTCTGGCTTATCTTCAGGCTCATGTTAGCTGCTTTCTTATACCTCCCAAGAATCACCTACCCAGATGTGTTACCACCAACAGTGCACTGGCTCCTCCCCCACCAATCATTAATCAAGAAAATGCCACATAGATGTGCCCACAGGCCAGTCTGGTGGAAGCATTTTCTCAGATGAGGTTCCCTCTTTCCAGATAATTCTATCTTGTGTCAAATTGACAATGCACAAAACAGTACAACTGACCCCTTGCAACCTGACATCCAAACTCATCACTAGTCTGTCATAACCTCCTCTCCTTTGTTCCCTAGATCTTACATTAATATTAATATAGAACATATTACAATTTTTTAAAATCCCAGTCTTTGAATTTTTCAACATTTTAAAAGTCTAATTCTCTTTTAAAATGCAATGTCTCTTTAAGGGCCCCAAGTCTGTGGGCTCCTAAAAAAATAAAAACAAGGAAGAACCAGGGCACTGTGACAAATCAAATCAAATCTAAACTCTAACAGTGTAAATAATTCAGTAGCCAACTTTTTGGACTAACTCATGATCTTCTGGGCTCCAAAGAGCTTGGGCGGCTTCACTTCTCAGGCCCTACTACCCACAGTGTATAGAGTTTTCAAGGCTCAGGCAGGCTGCATTTCACACCTGCCCCCGTCCTTGATGGTCAGCCCATCCAGTTCTGGCACCTCTGATACGCTCTGCTCTCGGCTTCGACTGAAGCTGTACCTTCACCAATGGCCTTTCAGGGCTATCTTTGGGGACTCTGACCCTGTCACATGGTACCAAGTCTCAGCTGTTCTCCTTGGCCTCTTCAGCCCTCCAGCTCTCATGCCACCAAAACTATTTGGGAGACCCTTACACATCATCAAATTAGCTGCCAGCTGGAGACACTGCCTTAATCCCTTCTAGACCACAGCTCTGTGTGTTGACCACAAGGAAATACTTCCCAGATCCCGCACGTGAAAGGCCTGGTGGCCAGCATAAGGTGTTATTGGGGGGCATTGGAACCTTTCAGGGTGGGTGGTAATTGGAGGAAGTTAGATCTGTGAGGGAATGTTCTCAAAGTGGATATTGAGACCATGTCTGCCCACCCTTTCTCTTTATTCCTCTGCCCCACCACGACACTCTCTGCCGGGCCACGGCCTAAAATCAATGGAGCCCAACAGCCCTGGGCTGAAACCTCTGAGATTTGGAGGCTCTTCCGTTACACTGTTTATCCTGGGCATTTTGTCATCAGCAAAATGCTAACACATTAATAATGAAAAGAGAGACACAACAAAAATCAACAGCTATTCGTTTGAAAGTCACCAAAGCCCAGAAAACCATCAACCAAGCAAGAATCCCAGAAGAGTTTGTATACCTTATCAAGAATATACTGCTATAACTTCTACAGTTCAACACAGGCTAGAAAAACCAAATAGCATAAGAAAAAAAAAATGATGCCTAAGGATAGCAAGGAAAAAAATAAACCTTTTGTCATTTCTGAAATAAGTGTTTATGTAAAATCATTTAAAATTACTGATTGACTTACTAAAGTATTTATCTGCTCTAAGATCAACATGCAAAAGTTCATGGTACTAATATATACCTGTACCAACTAACTCCTACAGAAATAATCCTAAATATTAATGTTTTACATGACAAGAATTTTTAGTAAATAAGAAATTATGGAATTGACACTGGCAGGAAAAAAAGCAAAGAAAATGGACAGCAGAGCATGGAAGACACTCATTCATACATATGTGCCATCAAAACTGCAAGTCAAATAGGCCATGCATTTTTCTCATTAGTAATTAACTCAAACAAAGCTTCAAATTCTAGCATTGAACTGATTTTATTTAGAAATATAAAAACCCCATCAGTCACTGGACAAAAGGCTCTATGATGACAGCTAGATTATTTGCTAGGCTGGTCACCAGAGTAGACCGGTCCAGGCACCCTCTGGACCACTGCCAGCAGACCAAGGTGGGGTCAACCTTGTGGATTCCTGAGACCCTCCCCAGCACCCTGCCTCTTCCTATTCCCATGATGTTCTTATTTATCATGGTATCTTCCTCCCTGCCCTCCCACTCTGTCCCAGATACAGAGATCCAAGGCCAGGCACCAGACTGAGCTCCGGGAATTCAATTGATGAGAGAGAGGAGAGATACTACAGGCAAGGGACGTTGAGATCATGATGGGAGGACATGCAGAGATGACTGGCCACACTAGTGGAAGCCCATGAACTGTGGATTGGTGGCTGTGGAGTCTCCATGGGACTGGACTAGGCCCTCTGGATATGGAAGATGGTTGTTTGGCTCGAACTGTTTGTGGGGGGGGGGGATCGGGATCTGTCCCTGGTCTATGGGCAGGCTTCTGGAACCTGGTGCCTGTGGTGTGACACCTTGCACAGCCTTGGTGCAGTGGGAAGGGGCTTGGACCTGCCTAGGCTCAGTGTGCTGGGCTCTACTGGCTCTCCTTGGGAGACCTCGATTTGGGGGATGTGGGCATGTGGGGTGGGTTGGGCGAGAGGGCTTGG